TTCCTGCTGGCTTGAGTGAGAGTCAGATCCAGTCCAAAGTCACCATCCGCTGGCTCTGGGGTGAAATGGGCCTCTGGTTGGCTCCTAAGAGACAGATGTCCACTGTCCACAAATGACCTTTGCCCTTGGCACCGAGTGGCTCCTTTGTTGCCAATGGCAGCAGAGCAGGCAAGCTCCAAATGCACACGGAGAGCAAGCTCGCTCTTTACTCCCAGGCAACTGGATGGGAGATAGCAGGAGGAGCTCGTCACCTCTGCCCAGCCTGGAGCTCATTTGCGACAGCCAGAGACCACCCCCAGTCTGCCATCCTCTGGAGGCAGCATGTCACAGCTCCTCTTTTGTAGAGTTTAGCTTTCCCAGCTGTGGCCCCGTGTCGCCTTCACTGTGATTTTACCTTGTGTCTGGTTTGCATTTTCCTTTCTCTAGTGTGTCCCCTGCCCCTGAAGCATGTGCTTTAATGGAGTCCCATTGACTTTGCTGAACTGGGGCTTGAGAGTGAATGTGCATTAATCTCTTTTTAGGTACCGGTCTCATGCGTGTTGTGTCTAAGGGTCTGAACTAATTACCTATTAGAGTTACTGGGCTGTTGTGGTTTTGGGGGTTTTTTTGGTAGGTATATGCTTAAAAAAACCAAAAAGGCCCAGGTCCTGTGGGAACTGAGGCACGGAAGGAAAGTCAATTTTGTTGACCCCCCTGGGTACAAAAGCTATGTCTACACTGCAGACACCGAGCACAGCAATATTGGCAAGAGGTTGATCTCTGATTGGCATAGCTATGCTGCTCAAGGTCTGTAATGTAGACACAATGACACTGGCAAAACTGTGCCGATACCAGTGTAGCTTGTTTCACATGGGCGGTATGGTACTGATGCAAAGCACAGCTTTGCTGATTGAGCTGTGTCTGTGTCCACACTAGGAATGCATTGCTGGTCTAGCACATCAGTTTTCCTACACCAGTAAAGTGCTCCCACTGTGGACAAGGTGTAACTCACACTGAGGCCAGGAGGACGGCTGGAGTTACAAGGTCTAGCAGGACCTGGCTCAAGCCGGTCACACTGGCTATTATGCTCTGCCAGATGAGAAGAGACTTTTGTAGGAATAAATATTCCAGGAGCACGAGCCTTGTCACAGGAGGTCTCTGTAATTTATTAGTATCATCTAGGGCAATGCCCTGACGATGCTTAATTAGACCATAGATGGGAGGGTTGACTTAACACTGAAATGCTTTAACTAATAATTAATGCTCCAGGGAGGAAGCACAAATGTTGTTTGCCAAACCAATGCTGGAGTTAGACTGTAGAACAGCATGACGGTGTCTTTCACAACTGTGTCACTTTCTGATCTGTCCATTACTTGCAGGTTGTATTTTTTATTACGATGTTTGAATTTGCTATGTCCTATGCACAGTTCTCAGAGCTTCACATGAGCCTGAGCAGTTCTCTGGAGACAGAGGGTCCTGTTCTTTGTTTCCCCTTGACCCTTCTTATTTTGAAATCTCAGGAATGCTTTCTTCACAGGGTGCAAGTCTGTTACCTCCCCTTGTGCTCTGCCAGAGATTGGCATCACCGATTTCACCTCAGCTTTGCGTCTGTGCCCCACAAGAAAGCAGGATTGTGTGGGGAGTTGAAATGGCATCACATCATTATACTAGGCTATGTAAGATGCTGTAGGGCTGTCTCAAAAGGTAGCACTTCATTTGTAAGGCTAAGGCCTGGTCCAGATTTAGGCTTTGAATCAGAGCAGAGGTGATCACACAGGAGATTCATAAACTCCCAGCTTTGAATTTTGTTTGCATTTCCTTTTTGTCTACGTATATAATGCAAATCTTTCTCCCTGCCCTTGTCAGGTATCAGATTAAACCCATTCGGCAAAGAAATGATGCCTCATTCAGCCACCTCACTCAGCAAACACTTTGTATTGTGCTTGCCTCTGAATTTTGTGGGCTTCACCCTGACTCCACCAAAATCAATGGGAGTTTTGCCACTGAGATTAATGGGAGCAGGATCAGACCCTGTATGTTCTAAAATCAGCACTGCTGCGCGTTGCTTCATTTTACCCTTCCTTTAGACCTGCTTCTCCTGCCATCCATATCAAAACTCCCATTACATTTGCTGGGAGTAGGATCAAATCCTTTGTCAGTAAAATCAAAGTCACCCTAGTATCACATGTTATCACACTAGCAGGAAGCAATGACAGGAAAAAAACCCAAAATATTTTTCTTGACAATCTTCTTTACACAATTCATGAGGATCTGGCAAGTCTAGTTCTACCACAAGTGCTATGGAATGACACTGCACTACCATTCCATATGGGAATTTCTTAGAAGTCGCAGGATCATACACAGCAAGTCCATTCTCTGGCAGTCGTAGCTTCTCTCTCTATTATCATGGGACTCCTTTGCCTCCTCTGTTGTTCACGGTTTATTGTTTGCAAGTTACAGAATTAAATCTCAGTATTTTGGAGAGCAAATGTGTCCGCCTAGTTCTTGGCCCAAGCAATTTCCAATTCTTTAGAGAAGAGAGAGGGTGTTGCTGGCTGGGTATCTGCAATGCAATATTTGCTGGGCATTAAATAAGTACAGCACAAGCCCTGGAATTTCTGGTGTGCGTCTGCCTAGCCCCTGTGACTTCACTGCACATTTCAGAAGTCCAAAGGTGATGGGGAAGAGTAAATATGGTCTGTTAAATTAAAACCAACCTCCTCCCCCTGCTGTTCTCATGGTACAGAGTCTAACATTCCCCAAATACCTTTGTCTTCCCACCAATGGAATTGCTTCTGTAGCTAAGCTTGCAAAAAAGAGAGAGAGTTAGTTGGCTTTTTCTTTTAAATTCTTTTCGGTTTTGCATCCTAAATTTTGATCTTTCTTAACCTACTAAGCAGCTGCTGAAAAAAAAAACTCCACACTGACTGGGAGAAACCAGGAAGATTAAGATACTTGCAGCCAAATAAACATTAGGAAAGCTGTCACATTCTGCTTTATCATCAGTGCTCAAAGTTCCTGAACTGCGGGGTATGTGGTGTGTTTCTTTCCCTCCCTCTGGTGAATTTCACCTCCCTCCCTCTGTGCCTTTCTAAACCCTCCCCTGCCAGAACTGACTTGTATTTCATGGCTTATAAAAAGATTCCTGAAAAGCACATTTTTTGCTTGAAGAATTCCTTCAAATTGCACTACTTTTCAAGAAGATGTCTGTCATGTTTGCAAAGCATGTGTTGTGGCTGGGATTCATCATTGGTAGCCTACTGGGACTGCTGAGTTACTCACCTAGCTATAAAGAAACTTAAAACTTTTTCTAGTTCCAGACTAACTCGGCTACCCTTCTTTAGCTATAGAGGTCCATTCTACAGGATCAACATCGTAGGTTTTAAACCCACCGCTGATAAACTTTAAAAAGGAGATAATTACCCATTGTGATTCCCAAGACTCCTTATAAGGCCTTTATTTCCACTCTGAAAAATACTCTTACTTCATAAAGGGCTCTCCTTAGAACTAAATTGGCTCTTTAGTCCTGTACCTGCCTTCTTGCAGTGAAATGCAAAGAAGATGGTCCACTTCCCTAAGGACATTGAGTTCATCCTGCTGGAATTGAAACTAGCAGTGATAGGGCACAGACAGGTCCGCATAAGTCCACTTTGCTGGATTTCCCAGTTGACATTGTCACTTTAGCTCTGTGTCTCTGTAATTCTGTTAAGCATAGTAATTGTATAAACCAGGGGTGGGGAACCTTTTTGGGACAGGAGCCACTAACCCACAGAAAAATCAATCGGGCTGCACAACTCCCCCCCCCCCCCCATTGACATGGCCCCTGACTGAGAAGACACCCACATTCCTCTCACACACCAGCGTTGGGGGTGGGAACAAGCCAAGTAGATTTTGTGTGCTCCAGCCCTGTAGTGGGGCCAGAGTGTCAGAACCAGCTCCCCAATGCAGGGGCCGGATTCAGGCAAGCCAGGGACTGCATCTCGCCATTCCCGATCTCTGGTATAAACCAACTGTAGGGGGCTTCATAAAAGCTTCCATCTATTCCACAGGAGCTTCTGTCCTTGCATTTTAAATTATGCTGAAGTTGTGGTAGTTTAGCAGACGACAGTGTTCATATATGATGGAAAAAGGGTCCCCAAAACTGACAAAAAACTAGTTTTAATTTGCATTTTAATTCCTTTAAGAAAACTGTTAGAGTTTTTTCTGCCTCTCTGTTTTAGCTCAGAGGGATTTTTGACCAGGCCTCAGAACAAAAGTAAAACCACCAGAGGTGCTCAGACTGTTCACTTTCACTTTTCGCTCTGCTGTTATACAGGGCAGGGCCTGGGGGTGGGATGAGGCATCACCAGAACAGGAAACCTGAGGGTGCACAACTGGTGTCAAATGCACAAAGTAAATGTATGGGAGGAGGGGGAATGTCTAATTTGACTCTTGTTTCAAGTGCTCATAGGGGTTACAAGCAATGTTCCCTGTAATCTTTTCCATCCCCATGCAGAGTTTTTTCCAGCCATGTGTGGAATAAATTTGTATGTGCACCACAGCGTGTATAAATGTGCACCATCAGGAGAAACACAAACCTAGCAGTGAGCGCTCTGCTTATCAGCTTAATGGCATTTGAATCTCTCCTGAGTGGCCACACAAGGGCCCAGCTTACTGGGAACACTGGTTACAAGTTACAATAGTAAGTGCAGCATTTTCAGATCTGAATGGCATTTTTTAAGTTGACTGTCCCTTCAAATGTTCTCTTTTAACATGTTAGACTCAATTAAATAGTGAGGATGCTGAGAAATGCTATGGTTCATCATTGCAAGATTTCTGCATTCTGTTACCTTCACAGTTAAGGAAAGAGTAAATGAAGTCTTATGGGGTATCATGTGCAAGGGACAGTCCATTGTAGATTCTTAAATGTATCCCCTGAATAATATAGTCTCAACAAAAAGCTGCTGCTCCCTTTTATCCTGCAAAATAAAACTGCTTTTATATTGAACAGTGTTATACTTAGTGTTTATCATAAAGATGATGCTGAGTTCTGTAAATGGCTCTCTCCTGATGCTGTTTGGAGTGGGTTTTACTTACACAGGCAGCACTAACCTCACACAGCTCTGCGGTTTCCACAAAGCCAAATTATGGATGAATAGACAAAGTCCAACTAGCAGAGTTGCAAAGGGAAATTCACGGGAACCTGATCTGGAATTTTGAGAAAGAGAGAAAAGTTCCCAGAACCTGCCCTGGCACCCATACAACCTTTACCAAAGGGGGGAAAGTCCCGTGATCTGTAAAGCTGTCAAACCACATGCAGAAACAGACTAGTGCCCTCTGCTATGACAGCACCAGCTCAGAGGCTATTCAGAGTCCATCTTCTCTCCCCAATTTTACTAAGGAATTTAGCATCTGATATGTCTCAACCCACATGATTCCTGTTGCTTTAGTAAATACACAATTCGATTGCTTCTGGTGGCCTAGATTCAGATCTGTTTTTTGTTACCCATTGTTCTCCTGTTCAAAAAATGCAGCAATCCAATCAGAGAGCAACCATGTGACCGAAGTGAAACCCCATCCTACACCCCGGAGAGTAATTAGTCAAAGACAGAATTAAAGCAGATCCCTCACGAACAGCCCATCAGCCTGAAAGCGGTTCACAGAAAGGGTGCTGTGAACTGGAGTAATGAATTGAATGGGTGAATAGGACCCAGCAGTTGTACCAGAGCGTTCTAAACCCGAAAGGATGGCTCTAATTGCAATTAATATGATTAGCAATCCCACCAGTTCCTAATGCGTGTAAAGCCCCAAACTACCAAGCTACTCGGTCACCGCCTTCAGTCCGATCGAGAGCCACTTGAACACAGCGCTGCTGGCAGACGCTCCTGGGAGAAAGGACTTGTCAGTTGCCAGTAAGCAGCTTGGGGTGTGTCATTGAGAAACAAGGATAAGTCAATGAGTCAACCCGCCCTCCCTTCATCACAGCAAGTCTTCCGGGACCAACATTCTGCCCCCCCGAGGAAGTCGCGGCAGCGCTCAGCTGGAGGCAGGCTGCAGGCTGGATGACTCAAGGCGCCCCACGCCTGCTTCTCTTAGACGCCTTGTCTCTGGGGGAACGAAGTGCCCCAGCCCTTCTGGAGAATCTTCACTCTTGCGACTTCGGGCCACTTCTGCTTCCGGAGAGCTCAATTTGCACGCGGGAGGCTGAGCAGCCTGTCAAAAAACGTGGGGAAAGCGGAGGGGCGCGGGGGGGGAAGCGAGCCTCTTTCCTCTTATTTGCATAACCCCGCCTTCTCGAGGTTTGGATCCACTCTCGGACTTCACGAGCAGGGTCAGCGCCCCTCAGCTCCTCCCTCGCCTAACTCCGATTGGTCCGGCGTCACCTCCCAGCCCCCTCTTGCCCGCCCCCTGCTATAAAGGGCGGTGACAGGCGCTGAACTCAGACAGAGAGCGGGGCGGGGATTCGGGCGCTGCGCTGTGGTTGTCTTCCCTCCTGGTGCGCGGTCTCTCCTCGGGCCAGACCCCGCCCCGGGGACACCTGCTGCCCGGAACCTCCCTGGGCTTTCCGGGTGTCTTCGCCCGGCGCTGGAGCGATCCGCCCGCGTCCTAGCGGGGCTGCGGCGGGCTCGAGCTGCCGGGCGGCGCCTCTGGTCCCCT